CACAGTGGAAAGTTTTCGCAACGAAATCCGACGAAGGCGATTTGAATGACGTGTACGACACGTCGGTGCTGCGTTGGACTTGTACCTGTCCTTCGTACGCCTACGGAGAATTTCTCCTGTGCAAGCATCTCGTACACAGATACATTTTAGCACACAACACCAAGGTAGCAACTACACATTCCACACACCAGGAGTTAACGATACGTCCATCAGGTGCCGCCGCGTTACAAGGTGCGGTAGCTAACGCCGCCTATGTGGGTGTTTCCTGCGACGAAGGACGAAATGCTGCGGCAAGAGTGCACGAAAAAATCCATCGACAAAGGAGTAAACGCACTTAGTGCACGACCCAAACTTAACCACGACACTGTCTCGATTCTCGACGACTCGCAGCTGTTGGCATCCGCGCACGTCGCCCAAACAATATGAGAACTGTCATCGTGGCTCATCCAGCATGCAAGCGATATCCAGCACGCACCACGTCAACTGGCGAAAGTGCAGAAGTTGCTTCATCCGATCCAGGCGTACCGCAAATCGATCCTTGCAGTGAACAACATGAGAAAACGGCAACGGACTAATCAAGCTTCGTCGCTAACAGTCATGTATGAACCACCTCAACAGTAGGTAAATACATACAATTAATATTGTTTACCATGAGTACTAGTTAAACCTATTTAGCTATAGGTGTAATAGTGATCACTAACACATCACAGTATACACTAGTATAGACTATTAAACACTAGGCAATAATAGGCGCCAGTATGATATGCTACCAACCAATAGGTTACACTACTAGCATGTCCTATAAATCTATAGTTCATAGTTACCAATACTTGTCGGAAAATTTCCAAGTTAACAGTTACTGTAAAGTGTGATTACATTGACTACTTCTTGCTGCTACGCTTCGCCGCTGCCGCCACATTGCGCTTGGCTGCCTTTTGTTTGGACGTCAATGACTTCGTTGTAACGGGCGGCGCCACTTCCTCATTTTGGCTTTCCATCGCTTCTTGTTCCGTGGCACAACGCAGAGCATGGTGCACAAAGAGCTGACGGACATCCCCACCACGCTTCTTGACAACGGAGTCCAACATGAGAATGATAGCAACATCATTCGAGATATTATGCTCACGCATCAAGTCAAAAACAGAAGATTGTGTGGGACGTTCAAAATGCGGAGACGAGTGGAGCACTATGCCAGTGCGCCGTGTGTACTCGTCGTGGTTGTCGTCACACATATCCGCGAACATGCTCGGACGGTACGGGGCAATCGATGGGTTCTTGGTGAAGTGCACATTGGTGTAATGTGACTTCTTGTTCGTGTCCGCGACGAACTTGTCCTCGCAGTCCACGACAGGACATACTACACGCTTCTTGCTTGGGTCAGCAATTCGATTCTGAGATCCTGTTCTTATCTATATTTATAGCCAATCAAGTTCGAACAACAATTTATTACCTTAATCAAGTACATGTGGTCTGTGGATTGTTTTTAGATGTACCTGGTAGTTTGTGCCGGTTTACGAAGCCATCCATTACTAGTACGACATAATTCAAATCATCTCGATATTTATCGAAATATTGAGAAATATCATCTCCAATGGGAGACTTAAAAACCGTCGCAAACCTCTTATGAAGCCACTGTGGTACAAATATTATCCGTACTTTGAGTGATTAATATTGAGGTCATGTCGAAAAACTCCTACCAAAACCGACTCAAATCAGTCTACCATTGAAACATGCAGTGCTGTGATTGGATAAAATAAACCAATCAAAAATCGTTTAGACTTGGTGGCAATATGTGTCGAAGTCATTTGACAATGTCCCCCAAGAGCATGGCAAAGTCATCCCGAGGCAAGGGTTGGACGGACCAAGAAGTCCAAATGATGCTTGATGCGATGGAAGTGCACGTTCCCTGGGGGCCAGCAATGCAGCGCTCATTTGAACTAAGCCAGCCCTGCACGCAGGTGTAGCCCGATCCACGTCGCCATCTTTCAACGGGGTCCTGATTTTGCCAAATAGGTTACCAGACACAGGAAATGCTGAGTCTGACACAACCCCATGGCCGGCAAGGGTAACCGTCGGATCCAGCAACTTCACTCGCAGAGGCATACTTGTGTCGGGATCGTTCCAGCTGCCGACAAAGTTGCTAGAGCATATGTTATTCGTTTTTACGGTTGCGATTTTTGCATTATCCGGACTTCGAAATAGCAACAAACCCTCCGGATAGTGCAAGAGTTTCTACGTACTTAGTATTCTATATCCGTAACTTCGAATTGAAATACTCATAACGTTAGTAGAAATATAAACACCGTTGGAGATGCTCTTAGGTGGCATCCAGACGGGCCCTAAAACTTTAAAACTTCATGATAGCGCTACGTCGACTGAGCATGGCCAATTCGGCGTCGCCCTTTCGTTCGTTTTCAAGCTAAATTAAATAGCTTGCGCGCCGCGATGACGCACCACACCGATGACGGCAATGGCGGCCACAGCAAATCCACCAATCGCCACGCCGGAAATGGCGCCAACGTCGACGCCATTGGCGGAATTCGTCGCTTGCACATTTACGCGGTTAAACGTGATCGAGTTGGACGCGTTAGTTGACGACGTCGAGTTATAGGCTTGGGGTGGGAATGTGATGTCGCTGCTGTTGGTCGAGTTGTTGGTCGAGTTAGTTGACGACGTCAAGTTATAGGCTTGGGGTGGGAATGTGATGTCGCTGGTGTTGGTCGAGTTGTTGGTCGAGTTGTTGGTCACTATGGGTGTGACTGGACGACTCGTGGTGGTTGATGTGGCTGTTGTAAGGGGTGCAAGTGTAGTTGGGGGCGGTGTTGTGGTGGGTCGTGCCAAAGTGATTGTGGGTGAAGCTGTAGTGGGGGGAGATGTTGGGAAATAGGTAGCAGGAGGTTTGGTCGTCTGCTCGGGGGTGGCAGTAGTAGGTGCAGGGGGTTTGGTAGTAGGCGCGTCTGTGGGCGGGTACACCGGTGTGCCTCCAAATTTCCACTGGCCATTGGGATGGGCAATGCCAAAGTACGATTCGAATCCACCTTTACCGAGGTTGTCGTGGTACATGAAGTAGTACGCGGCCGTGCCCGTCGATTGCTGCCACCCCTTGACGTCGTAGTAAAACTTCTCCGACAACGCAGTGCTCGCGATGTGACCCTGGAACGCCCCCCCATGGCTGGGCCAGCCCACCTCTGTCACGCGGACCTTGGAACCAAACTTGGCCACCACGGCCTCATATCTTCGCTTCAGGTCCTTAATGGGGTCGGTTGTCGAGTCCGGGCCCCCGCTAAAGAACGGATGGATGTTGGCCCCCACAATGTCGACGAGATCGGCCAGTCCTGGATTGGCCAGCAGGTCGCCGTCAGTTTGCACAATGCCGACGGGGACGCGGACTCCGGCCGCTGCCAACTTGGCTTTCGCATCTTGTACCACGGATGTCAATCTCGCGGCGCTCCAACCTTGGTGCAATTCTTCGTTGCCAATAAAGATGACCTGCACCGCGTTCGGGTTGGCTTTGGCACCGGCGATGGCAGCGTCCAGATCCACTTGGTACCTGTCCTCCAACAGCCACACCCCCGCTGCGATCTTTAAGCCAGCGTTAGCCGCGACTGTGATAGCGTTTTGGCTGCCCATGGCTGTCTGATAGGTCCGCACAGACTCGAATCGTTGCTTGATGGTGCGGAAGTGTCCTGGCATGTTGGCCGAGTCGTACGAGTCGTAGCAGACACCAAAACCTTCGGCTATGACGGAGGTTACGAAGACAAATAGCCCGAACACGGGCAACACGACGTGATAAAGCATGGTTCCGTGACGATGCAAATTGGAAAATGAGTCGCTATCAAAGGTTGACACTACGAACGAGCACGCAAGCTCTTTCATATTCGCACTTTCGCGAAAACCACGTGGGATGTCAAACAAAGTACGCGGTAAACTCCATTTATTGCGTTATACTCCGGGAGTACTGTACAGTGTGAGAGTGCATGTTGAGTTAGTTAAACGTATAGGTTAAATCCCAAAGGTCTCAGCATGTGAAGGTTTGGCTTCTGTAGCAACCGCACAAGTGGAAATGTGCCATGTCGTATTAGAATAGGCAGGCACTGGACTTGGTTATGCTCATGATGGAGCATATGAATGTCAACTAGATACGCTAACGTAATGAACATCGCGTTGGTTTATTAATTGAGTTTGGATTATCATTTTTACGACATTCCTCCGCGAGGGCCGACACTAGAACCACATGTTATGGAACCGCGTTGGAATTGATGATTGATGAGAAATGCACTGAAACGTGAAGGCCAGTGAAACGGTGTCGTCGGGCAAGATTCTGCCATCCAACCGCATACGTACTTTGTACTACGTAGTACTACGTAGTACTGCGGAGTATTTCTCAAAACGGGTACAACTCCCTCATTAAAACAGCTCCACTGTTGCTTTGACCCGAAATACTGTTTCAATGAGATTTATAAGGAATTTTGTATGCTCAGGCCACCTCACCTCTTACTAGTAGTTGGTTAAGTGCAGCTCAGTGGTTAGCGATGCAGTTAGCCCCGGAGATTTAGCATCGTATGTACTCACCGGGGGTAGGACGGAGTCCAGGTTACAGGGCTACTGGCGAAAAGGTGTATCCGGATGTAATAATTCTATCATTGAAACAGTATATTCCTCAAAACGGTGATATCGCATGGGTGAAGGAAGACTCATGTTTTGTTAAAATATTCTGAGTAATGTACTTCAAAGTAATTAACGTTACCAATGGCTGTACAGGTGTACTAGTAGTAATGCAGTACACTACCTGTAGTAGACAGTAAACAGTAGCACAATAGTATACGGCAGCTGTAAAGAACCGGTGTCGAGCATGGCTACAGTGCTCGAGTACCGGTAAGCTTACTAGAATTTCAGTGCAGACGCATCACCCCCACCTTACATTCGGACAAGTGAGCGGCAAAGTACTGTAGATTGGCACTTCCATATAGTATCTTTCAAAGACAATTGGAGCCAATCAGAATCGGCATACGATGGCGAGTCATGCATTGGTCGTGTTTTAGAAGGTTAAAATGATGGGTTTACGTTTTACTTGATTTAAGTATTGGCAGGCCGTCGTTACAGAATCATCATTGGAGGTTCAATATTGCGACATGTACACTGGAACGATACAGGTATGATGATTGGACCAAACTTGAATTAAGTAGGCCAATTGCATTGGAGATTCGGTATGAATTTCCGGACGCTGTTCAATCGAATCTCGCCGAGCGAATCGATCACCAATCTCTCCCATTGGTCAATCCGAAATTACTTGTCGCTGATTGGCTACAATCCATAAACGGATAAGTCTGTTTCCCAAGAACTTGAACCAACGAAATATATTAAAATATTTTGAATCACCACTACACATACTATTAATAGTACAAAGTCCTCTTCCAAATACCGTCGTTATTTTAACCCAAAATTCTACGAAAAATAGAATGTTGATGATTGATCATAAGTCGGTCGTGCTTTCTCCTTTCACGTGATTGGCTAATGTTGATTTTGTTGTGTTTTGACCCCTCGCGCGGCGAGTTTCACTCGTTTTCATGCACACGGATGGACAGATTGGACATTTTTCGGCATATTTTGTCCAATTCAAATTGTCTATTCATTTCGTACAAAGTGTCATAAAAAGAAATGATGTGGTTTGGTGCCAGAGAAATAGGGTTGATTCACCAACAAAACAGCGCATGCAATTTAGGGCATTTTTCCAAGTAAGTACTACCGTAGTACGTAAGTAAACGCTATAGTTGTGGCACTATCCGTTCTACATGTTCCTGTAGCTCGTATACCTCATTGCTTGTGCTTGGACCGGGGTGTGCAGCGGCCACATCTCCAGCCCAATTTACAGTTAATGAAATTACAGTTAGTGAAATAGGCTACAGTGTATGGTGCACGTCATCTATAATCTTCCATCTGGCTAAAAGTAGGTTATATATCAGCCCAAAAAATACTACTTAAGTACTTCGAAGTAATAAGTTAAATCCCGATTTATTGCGTTTTATCACTTTAGAGGTAGGTTAAAGGTCTATTTACCTCCGAGTATGTTGTACGGATACTAGTCTCTTACAAAGATCAAGATATCTCTCAGTGACCATCCCTGTGACGGCGAAATCAATTCGCCCATGCAAAATACCGCTTGGTTAAATGTCTATCTATTTCTTGTCATAAAAATGTCGCAAATCAAAAAAAATTCCGGAATCATCTGAGACGTTTTTCAAATATAAGTGCTCTCGCAAGATTGCAAACGCCAAAAAACCGTCTTAGCAAATCATCATTTGCGACCGATAGCCTCGCATCCATACTGTAACAAACGATACTATTAAAATAGATTTTCAAAGTCATGGTTTGAAGATGTTGGGTCGCGGGAAATCGTGGTAATGTTATCCCTCGACGTTCTACTTGATATCACCCTCGATGCATTGCTCTAGGCAACAATGGGTAGTCCAACTTTGGTACTAGGGGGGGGGGTACTAGATAGATTGCATGGTTCAGTCCCAGTTACAGTACACCTGTGACGGCACCGTCATAATAGATGTCAACGACAATAGGGGTTTCAAAGTTAAACAATGGAGCGTGGACAATGAAGAATGGGAAGTGTGTAGCGCTCAAAAATAAGCCAATCAGAATAGTCTATCGGAACTTTTGAGAACCCCAGCTTTTCGCAAGCAAAAATGGTAAGGGGCTGAGAACTCTGAAATTTGAAGTGGTCAGTGGACCATAATCGCTGCACTGAGACCGATGCCCCCTGTGGCCACAACGTGGACTTTCGATGCGCTGTCAAGTTGCACGAACTGTGTGCGGTACGTGCACACTCGGAAAGCACGTCGAAGAGTCAAAAACACTGCCTCACGGGAATCAAGCGGGGCAAAAATACTCTTAGTGCCCGAAGTTTGTCGTGTTTGGGTGTGCGTTGGCTGTCAAGTTCCAGGAATTCGTGGACTTTCGATGCGCTGTCAAGTTGCACGAACTGTGTGCGGTACGTGCACACTCGGAAAGCACGTCGAAGAGTCAAAAACACTGCCTCACGGGAATCAAGCGGGGCAAAAATACTCTTAGTGCCCGAAGTTTGTCGTGTTTGGGTGTGCGTTGGCTGTCAAGTTCCAGGAATTCGTGGACTTTCGATGCGCTGTCAAGTTGCACGAACTGTGTGCGGTACGTGCACACTCGGAAAGCACGTCGAAGAGTCAAAAACACTGCCTCACGGGAATCAAGCGGGGCAAAAATACTCTTAGTGCCCGAAGTTTGTCGTGTTTGGGTGTGCGTTGGCTGTCAAGTTCCAGGAATTCGTGGACTTTCGATGCGCTGTCAAGT